CACCATGTTAAATTTCACAATTTATCGAATAATAAATAATGAGAGAAAATAAAACAACAAAAGAAAGGGCTCGTCCGGGATTGAACCCGGGACCTCTAGCACCCAAAGCGAGAACCAACGAGCCGCACATAAGCGTTAAAGTTTTACTGAAAATGGTAAACTATGAATTGGCATCTTTGACATGTAAATTGGAAAGGTGATAATCATATCCTTAGACCAACGAACCATGTATATTTCTTAAAAAGGCATTCTAATTAAACCGATTCATATAAATAGGTTAATATATGTTATTTATAAATTATATATTGCACCGTGACAACTTCTACACTTTAAATTACTTTATCGAATAATGGGAGAAAACAAGACAGGGCTCGTCCGGGATTTGAACCCGGGACCTCTCGCACCCAAAGCGAGAATCATACCCCTAGACCAACACAAATATCACATTGATTTGGACATAAAATCATAGATAAGTTTTAGATAAAGCAAATTTCAAGATTCACGAAACTGTATAACAGGAAATAGGCATCTTTCACATGTTTGAAGCCATGATTTCTCTCAATATTATTTGTAATGATATTGCATTTTGTTAAAAGAATTGGGCTCGTCCGGGAATTGAACCTGGGACCTCTCATACCCCTAGACCAACGAGCCATGAATATTTTATTTGTGACAATCTGTTTAAATTAATTCACACAAATTGGTTAATATGTAAAATTATTTCATCATGGTTCTTAAAATATTATATGATAGCTTAATAAGTTCTGCAGTACAAACTCATAATAAAAAATAACAAGACAGAGTCATATTTTTCTACTAGCAGTTTAAAAATAGTTAGTTTACAAAGTGTTTACTAAGCGAGAATCATACCCCTAGACCAACGAGCCATGTCGTAAGAATGTCATGAGCCGTACAATTTAAAGATAAACAAGAGCCATGTCAACATGGCCATCCCCCGCCGAATGTGTTTGCTCATTGGAAGAATGTACAAGTAGTAGAGCAGAATAATTCCATTTTAGGAGGTATTTTGGTAATGAAAACTGATGGCTATAGTGATTACAGATTTGAAACCTATGTGAATACTGATGGCTGAATATAACAAAGGGCAATTACTGAAAAATAATGCAGGGTAGGTTATCATTGTTGTGTGCTGCATCCCTCCTCAGTAAAATCTATCCGCCTATGAAGTTTCAAGTTGATACCTCAAATACGTTTTTGAGAAAAAAATTAAATTGAAAAATTAAGTATGAAAAATAACAAAGGGCAATAACTCAAGAATTATAAAAGGTAGAGTTATTATTCTTGTGCCCTGCACACCTCCTGAATTAGATATATGCCCCTATGAAATTTCATAATGATATCTCAAAGGCCTTTTGAGTTATGCTCTGGAAAAAAATTAATTTTGAAAAATAAAAAAAAGGGCAATAACTAAACATTTATGCAGGGTAGAGTTATCGTTCTTGTGCACTGCACTCCTCCTTAATGAGATCCATCCACCTATGAAGTTTCAAGTTGATACCTCAAATACTTTTTGAGATAAACTCTGGACAAAATATTATGAAAAAGAACAAAGGGCAATAAGTCAAAAAATGGACAGGGAAGAGTTATCATTCTTGTGCACAGCATTCCTCCTCAATAAAATCTATCCACCTATGACATTCATGTAGACATCTCAAACACTTTTGAGTTATGCTCCACTCGGGTGAAAAATTAAGTATGAAAAATAACAAAGGCAATAACTCAAAAATTATAAAAGGTAGAGTTATCATTCTTGTGCACTGCACACCCCCTGAGTGAGATCTATGCACCTATAAAGTTTCATTTTGATATCTCAAAGGCTTTTAGAGTTATGCTCTGGACAAAAATTAATTTTGAAAAATAACAAAGGGCAATAACTCAAAAATTATGCAGGGTAGAGTTATCATTCTTGTGCACTGCACTCCTCCTCAATGAGGTCTATCCACCTATGAAGTTTCAAGTTGATAACTCAAATACCTTTAGAGATATGCTCTGGACAAAAATGTCGGACGGAAGGACGGACGGACGGACGGACGGAGACTATTTCTATATCCCCCGCCGAACTTTTTCGGCGGGGGATAAAAAGATCAAAAGAATTAAAATAAATTGCAGGGTCAGTTGCAACATTTCAGTGATAGTACCTGAAAAAAAATGTTCGTGAAGTTGGCAGCCTAGCAGCCTGAAGTTGGAAGTCTGGCAGCCTAGCAGCCTAAAGAAAACTAAGGATAATACAAACATGAAAACCGTCAGATATGAATTGGTAGCACATACTTAGACCACTCCACGTCTTATTTCAGTATCGCGATCTTTATTATTTTAAATATTGAACTTTGTTTTTTGGGGTTTTTTTTGTTTTGTTTTTTTTGACACTTCGAAATTTGTGAAGTTAGCAGCCTAGCAGCCTAAAGAAAACTAAGGATAATACCAACATGAAAACCATCGGAAATGAATCGGAAGCACATATTTAGTCCATTCTACGTCTTATTTCAGTATCGCGATATTTTTTTTTTTTAATATTGAACTTTGTTTTCTGGGTTTTTTTTTTTGTTTGTTGGTTTGTTCTTTTTTGACACTTCGAAATGGGTGGTCTTTAATTATATAATCTCAATTTAATATAATCTGCTAATTTAAAAATCAGTCAAATTTACGGTATATTGAAAAAAGAAATGGAGTGACATCCGCCATTTGCCGCAACGTTCGGCGTAAGTTATTCCCCTTGATACGCTTGATTTTTGTTTTAATTTTTCTAGTAATGAATACGAGATGAGTGCCTAAAATATTTATCTATGGATCATGTTTTAATATTCCTTTTTTCAGTTACGCAAAATAGTCTAGTCAAATTAGCCCGAAAATCAAGCTAACCTAGAACTAATTGCAAAAGTTTTTGTTTTGGTATTTTATGATGGTACCATATCTGCTTGATATTAGGAAAAAAGTTGCACTCTTTTGCTGAAGGGGAAATGTGATAATTCCAGCTTTCAAGTTGACACCCTTAAATTTCAGTTATAAAATCGGCGTAATTTGTTAATTTCCAATGATACTAAAAAAACCACTTCTATATATAAGTTAAACATATTTATTACATGCAAACTTCATACAAACAAATTTTTGTCCATGTTGATACAAAAATTTATGCATTTAAAATTAATAAAAAAAAATTGGTCGGCAATTCTATGACAAACTGGTGTCAAATTACCCCACCCACTTTATGTTAAAATTTTTAACCAGTCAAATTCCGATATATAAGCAGCAAATCATCCATTCCATGTATATTTACAGTAAAAACAATACATAATAACATATTTATGCATGAAGAAGTACTTTGTAAATTATGTCAACTGTATTCATATGAATTAAAATGGACATACATGTGTATTGTAAATTTTGTTTTAGATAAATGTTGAATAATTCAGGTACACTTTTGTTTAGCTAACATTCGGAACATCCAACGCATTTTGAATAATTTGTTTGTTTCAAGCAAAAAAAAAAAAGAACAACAAGTAAGTGTATTTAAGAGCGAGTAACAATTACCAAAACTACAGATGAAAAATACTATGCCTGGTCTATGGAGAAATTGTAGTATATACATTTAAGTGTCACTTGTTGAAATTTGACATTACACACGGAATAAAACTATATTACAAATGTACAAATGTACCGAAGAGCTACCTAATTTGGCAAGCAACAATGTAGTGATAATAAATATAAAAGAACACGAATATACAGGCTGTTTCATTCACAAAGAACTACATTTTTGTCACATCGATATGTACACTTAAATCACTTAAAGTATATGGTAGGGTTATTGTCATGCTTGTACTAACACATAACAGTCTACAACATATAAGACCACTTCTATAAATTTGAAATTATCGTTCTGTATGTTAGACAGTAAAGTAATACATTTTTATTTACAATAGGTGAACTTTGACATTGACAATTAGAGAAAAAAACAGTCTGTCGCAACACAAGCAAATATAAGAAAGCATTGATAAGTATGTATTCAATATACAATCTAACTCTAAATGCACAATACTATTGTACATTTGGAGTAATATTGTTTCAACCATTTTACTACATTTATGTTATAGCGCATAGTTTGGTGCTAGTACAAGTTTATTGTTCTGTGATAGACACCAATGTAAAATATTGTGCATAAATTTTAGTATAATTTGACACTGGATAAAAGAGTATAACTACAATACTAAAAAATACTTCATATGGCAAGCAAACAGAGTATTATTATAATTCTTTTGTTTTTATTACAAGCTACATTGTATTTACTTCACGAGGAATATGAGACTGTTCAATATATAGAACATATATTTGTCTGCAAAGTTTTATATGAATAACTTAAAGTGAAACCTCTATTGTTTATGTAAAAACAAGATGCCAGATGCATGAACATTGCCAATAATAACACAAAATATGAATACATTTCAATACAAAACAGGTAAAAATTGACAACTAAATTCTAAGAGCATTGTGTCGATACAAGATCTAGTCCTCCATGTCTGCAAAATCAATATCTGAAATGGACCGACAGTTTGAACAGCTAATACAATGACATTCTCCACAACCAACCGAACATTCGAGGTCATGTTTGCGACAGGTACATGTCTAAGAGTGGCTTTTTTGCAATTGCATCTGATATTTAAAAGAAAATCTGGAGCAGCGGGTTGTGTAGATTTTGTGGGTACAAGAGTCCTTCGAGAAGTTCCTATCCCCATTCAGTTGGATCTAATTTATCATTTCCAATCCATGTTTGTGTTTGAAAATATGACGGTATAGAGTGTTGCGCCGCAGCATCAGACGTAGGCGGAATGCTTTGAACTTGAATAACAGATGAACTTGACATGGTTTTACTTACAAAATTTGTGAAATCTCAGTCTGTTCAAATTTATCTCCCTAGCTCCATCATATAATATCCTCATGGATTTTTCACCACCTGTAATAATTTCTTTTTGTTGAAGAATGAAATATTGCAGCATTTTGCCGGAACACTTCATTTTTACACATTATTTTAAGAACTGTCACAATCTAGAGAAAGCGTGCAGGAATGGTAGGAGATAACAAATCTCTATTCCAATCACATTTTGGTGTCTTTTGAATATATATGCCAAACTATTTGGGTTTTCATTGTCTGATCTGTAATATACATTCTTCGAATCTGACGAAAATCCAAAACTGACAACAGTCTGTCCAAAACAACATTTCCCCACAGATTGTTTCTCTCAGAACATTTAATTAAGTTATATTGTTTCCTGCATCCTCGGAAACCCATGTTTTTTACCGTATACATGTATCGGTAATAATATTAAATGTAGTAGATACGAAATGTGTACCGTGGGTTCCGACGATGTGTTTCCTGAAAATCAAAACTTCTACCAGGATGAACATCTACGTTTCCCAGATGCAACTTTAGCAGGCTTACCACAGAACGAGCAATTACACTTAAAAGCAAAGTTAGCATTTGATCTTAAAGGTCTTTTAACTTGGTTACACTTAACATTGGAACTATTTTGAAATGTTTCTATTGTGAATAAAATCCCTTCTACAGTCTTGGTGCACAATTTGGCCTGTAATTGTTCGTATACTTGTATACTTGAATTCCTCAGATCGCTAGCATGGTTAACACTGTGGCTTCCCTTCTCTCTGAGAGTGACAATTGGGACCCATTCTGGATATCCTGCGCACAAAATACGCACGTTGTAGAATCTGAAAGCATATTTTAAATCTACAGATCTGTATATAAAATTATTTTGTATATGCATTATTTCACAGTAACCATAGTATTATGTAGTGTAAAATATGAATATACATGTATATAACTTATGAAATATGTTATTTTATATATGTTTGTGTATTGATTTTCTTACTATTCAGACCAGTATCGACACATGGGAACATGATGAATGTATAAACCATCTGACATTGGTAAAAACAAAATATACCTGTTGCCATGTTGATATTTACTTGTAGATCCCGAAATCAGAAATGCACAACGGGTTTCTGAAAAAAAAATTAAGTATAGAAATATTCAGTATAAAATGTGCATTTATTTCAGCCTACCTTAAATAGCCTAAAAAGGCTATGTTATTTCCCTGCATTTAACATACATTAAACCTTTGTCCGAAAACTTAATGGCAAGCATGTGTACATTTACAGAGAAATTGTCATGAGTTTTTATTAATTTAATATACAGTAGTCAGTATAAACATACCGAAATGCAACGCCCTTCATATCGTTGTTTGTTCCATCAGCATGGTTTGGTAATGTGGCTTGTATCATCTATAGAAATAAAAGACATATTTTGTGAGAAATTATGTATGAATTTAGCATATATTTATCTTAGCATATTAACTTTGTATTTAAAGGAAACAAGTATATTTTGCATGAACCGATACTCAAATGACATAATCGTTCATTTCATTTTTCCACTTTGATGAATAAAGCGTGACGTCATTTGGCCAATGTTCGGCATTACTTTCCATAGGTGTTAAATGTAGGCAATAACAAAAAATATCCGTACTATGTTATACTTTGCATTTTTAAAATATTAAATCAGTAAGTTATACAATCACAACAGACCGAGGAAGGTGAACATATATGGAATGTATTGTATGTTCCGGGCAATCATGTAGTATGAAAGCTCGGGAGCGATTTTGCAAATTTCCTATGAAGAGCTACTGGTGTGGTCCATTTCACATGATAGCATATTTAAAAAAAGGACAAGTTAAAACAAACATTGTTCATATATTATAGATAGAAATTGTGCATAGATAATACTTAAAGTATGACTCACCTTGATACAAGAGACAGCTGAACATAAAATAATCATCAAATGACCTTTGGTGTGTAAATCATGGATGTCGTATCTGAAATTAAGTATTGATTTTATTTATGTACATTTACATGTTTAATAATGCAAAATATATATCTAAATATAAATTTACATGTAAATCTGAACATTGTTTTATACATGTATACTGGTTTGGGACCACCAAAACCAGACAACCACCAAACCCTGACGGCCCCGAAAATGCTTTATTTAGTATTTTCTTTGTTCAGTGGTTGTCAGTCACTTTTTCATCAACAATAAATGCATGTTTCTTCTAAAATTAAGTAAATAAATTTATTTCAACCTACGTAAATGGTAATATTTTTATTGTTTATTTCTAGAATGTTGACGTTGAAATTTGGGGGTCAAGAAAGCATTGCCTGACCTCATATACCAGCTATAATCATTTGCAGAGTAAACAATAGAATATCCAAAACTTCAGCATTTGTTGCTGAAATATTGTATATCATGATAAAAATCTAAAATCAAAACACCTCAAGCTTTTATCTTAATTAAATCACGTGATGTACATATCTGTCCAGACACATAATACTGTAGTGTAGACAATTTAGGTGATTTTGATACCCTCCTTGTGGAGCCTCAGATATAAGTGTCAATACAATCAGAAATAAACAAACTAGTTTGTTAGTTAGGAGAAGAACCTAGCTGAACTGTGTCAAATTTTAAGGTCTCTAGGTTAGAAATTATGAAATTTGTACGGAAAATTGTTCAAAAAGTGTTCGTTTGATGGTCCCCGACCAGTACAGTAAAATACCATGTTATAATAAAATAATGCATATTCACGACGTATATTATGTCCCGTTTTGTCTTCCGTAGATTAAAAAAATCGTGAAATTTGTTCATTTCAAAGTAACAATGTAATGTTGAGAATACAAAGTTTTCATGTTAAATATGTCTTATTAACATCGTTTTCTTATAAATATATATATATCGTTTATTTTATGAATATAATAAAATCAAATACTAACATTTACTGGTGATATTGGTTTGCTGTTTATTTCCAAAAATATTTAACATAAAATCGTAGTTATATTTAACTATGGCACTTAGTCCAAGAGATGGCGGGGTTTTATTGCAATTTACCGTATCACCAAAAGAAACATTGCCATTATAAAGTATATTGTTTGTAGTTTCTAAAAACCCATTTCTTAAGTTACGCAGCCCGGGCAAAAATATGAAAATTCAAGATGGCCGCCAATATGGCCGCCATAAATTACAAAATACCATATAATTTTTGTTTCTTGATTTTTTACATACGGATTTTGTACAATATAGTTTTTAATTGCACAATATCAGGTAAAATATGGCTACTTTATGATTCAATCAAGCAAAAATGACAGTTATATGGCAAACTTTAAAATTATCACTATCAAATTTACCTAAAAAGTGGTAAAAAATAGCATTTTTTGACATATGATGACTTTCGTTTTTCCGTATTAAAACAATATAAATGGAATTGCATTGAAATTGTGTGTACTTTATCAATTTAACATAGCTAGACAAGTTAAGCATAAAAAATCATTATCTGAGTATTTATGATGTAACAGTAGAGCTTCAAAAGTGGGAGGGGTAAAATTACCGAAATTTTTTTTTTAAATTACAATGTTCCCAAAACATGCCTTTACATTATAATTTCAGTTTAATGTATAGGATATTGTGTTTAAATTGTATCTTATTTGTCATTTGCACATTTCTTGATAAGTTAAGCATAGAATTTCATTACCTGATCATTTATCACAGATGAGTACAGCTTCAAAAAGGGGTGGGGTAAAATAACCCCCAAGAAAGCGCGTTAGAAATAAATAAGCTCCTAAAACTTGCAAGTGCAATAATCATATATTAATTGAAATTTGTGGTAAGATATAAAATATGTATTACATTTTAAGAAGAAAAGAAACATCATGTCATAGCAACCTTTAAGATTATCACAATTAAACCAAAAATTAATAGGTAAAAAAAACGCAGTTTTTTGCATTTTGTTGCCTTTTAGTATATCTTTTTGACACAAAAGTAGAAGAATTGTGCTACAGCTGTTTTAGTTGATTATAGCTGTAATAGTTTGCCATAAAAATCATTACAAGAGAATGTATCACAGAGGGATAGAGTTAAAAAAAATGGGTTCGACATAACATTTTAAAAATTAAAGTGCTAACAGAACATGCTTTTACTTTTTAATGTTTAATAGTCATGTTTTGCTATTTTCTGACAATTATTATCAATAAATTATGTTAACGATGTTCCTAGCATAGTAATATTTTGGTAAAACACTTTTATTGCAGATATTTATGTGAAATCTACGAAATTCTTACTGAATAATTTTGAATAAAAAAGTTTGGAAAGCTGCACTCCCTATTGTTGTTGAAGTAAATATGGTCTTTACTAAAAAACGCCAGTTATAATGACGTTATGTATTTATACTGTGTTTATCTATAGTGTATGGAGTGAAAACTTATCAATATTGTATGTGTGTACTCAAAAAGATGTTTTTATGGCAAAAAAGAGGCTGTATAGCAAATACAAGTATTTTCACATTTCAGTATATAAATTCTTTAATCCATTAAGAAAAAACATCATTTAAATGTTTTATTTATCATAATTAATTCACATACAAATGTATAAAACAACATACTAGTATTTTGGTAACTTTTGTTTCATCTTTGTAACATAAAAATAGATGTAAGTGTGTTTTAATTGAAATTGTCGCGAAGCATGTGTCTCAGAAAAGAAGCTCTAAAAAAGTTTGTGGGATAAATTAAACTTAGACCAGAAGACATTACGATGCTTATGCAACATACTCTTATGGACAGAAACAGTTTTTATTACGTTCTTTCTACAAAAAAAATGTAATTTTATTAATTTTGATACATATTTATAACACCTGTAATTGATTATGTTTTTCTTAAAGGCCCATTATGCCTCAGAAAAGCTTTTATCTTCCTTTCTCTAAAACTTTTTTTAATTTTGGTATAGTTTTATTTTTATCGGCATATCTTTACTCACTGCAAATCACTTGAACTATTTACATGTTACATTTTTGCAATACGTATAGTTTTTGTGAATGGAAGGAAGTTAATTACTACTTTGCTTACATTTTGCTACATTTACTACAAAGTATTTTTAGATTTATTGCTATTTTATTCAGGTAACAAGCATATTACATTCTCTAAACCGTTATTTAATTTATTTGTTTTTTTTTAGGCATAATTTGCCTTTGATAAAGGTAAGAAATTTTGCATCATAATTACAATTAAGAAAGTGTGCATTAAAAACATCAAAATACACACTTATATATTAATCAAGAACATTATGTCTGTGAAATGCATTTTGTGAGAGTGTAGTTGTGAAATATGATATGAACACATTATCATTTTTTTTAATTTGACAAAGGTTAAGAAGAATTGTCATTTATAAAATTAGAAACCATATTTGAATAAGTTTAGCAAAAGTTGTGAATGTTACTGCACACAAAACATCCAAATAGTTAAAACATGTTTAAGCTATCAATACTTGTCATAGAAATACATACATCTTGAAATTATGCACTAATACATTCTGTACAAAAGTCGATTTAAAAGCAACAATTTTCACACAAAGCAACCGACCAGCATTTAGTTGTAATTTACATTTATAAGTACATAGTCGCTTTTCCCTTCAGATCAACTAGCTATGTCATGTGTTGTCTCACTATTCAGCAGAAATAAGATTTTAAATGTCAGTACTTTGTGAGTGCATCAAAATCACACTGAGCACTGACTGTGTAGATGGCAAAATGATGCATCAGCTCCTGACAGTTTGATCAATCTGTGATGTTATCTTGTATATATTGAAATCTTTCAGCACAATAACATTGCTGTGTTGCATAGTTTTAGTTTTTTTTTTTCTTTTTGACTTTTTTTCCCATTGGGTGAATCTAAAATTCCTTCGTGAATACTAAATATCACCCTTAAGGATGTGTTGCCTGACTTAAGATTTCTCCTTTGGTGGCTTTTAATCTGATATTAAGACTCCATAACCCTATCTTAAAAATTTCAATTATTTAGTTCAACATAATTTTCATATTTAGGCTACACGCATTATTTTTACTTGGGTCCATATACTGTTTTTGATGGAGTGGCGCAATAGTTACATTGAAGATCCCTTGATTACTGTCTTATGAACTTGTCTACGGATGTGTAACATTTTAAGTTTCACTTTTATAATTTCACTACATTTTTGTTTAAATACTGAATTTTGCTTGGAGGACGTTTTAAGAAGCTTGCATATATCACTGCTGTCAAGAAACGAGCGTAAGTGTGCCATATTGTGTATTCTTAAAGCTTTTTGTTTTTCATTCCATTTGCTTGAACGATTTTGAGCATATTTATTCTAAACAATGCTAGTCTGGCATAAGTTACAGGTGTGAATAGGAAAAAAATACAATCCCTAAAGAACTTCCAATAAACAGTAAAATTAAAAATGTTGCAGACTTGGTTTTTTGAGCTTGTTCATGGATGGTACTGACTAGTGCAAACTACCATCCACAACCCCAAGCACCAGGATAATTCAACCTTTAGCATGAAATAGTAAAATTTGAGTTTTGAAACATTCGCAGATGTGTTAATACGGGGGTCATTATGAAAAGCTAACTTTTTTCAGCCAGTACATTAAAAGTGGCGTATGGTCCCACAATTATCAGGATGTGTTAATGAGAAAGCGATGGGTGAAACATAAATTTGGTGTTCTATAACAAATGTTTTGGTCTTATTTCGGCTTTCGATCCACCTAACCAGATTTCCTTGATAATTAAGTAGCATATTTATGAGCAAGTGACCCCTGTTTACCTCACATGATATTTGAATAAGCGATGAGAGATTTATTTTCAAAGAGAAATTTACTTTGTCGGAGGATCAAGCAAGTGACTCCTTAATTTCTTATCTAATGCTCTCTCATTGAGCTAGGCAGGCATACTACAGATGGACATAACGACTGGCTTAATTATATGGCATTTATTAACCTTCTTTGTTGTTGTTATCATGCCTTAAAAATCTATCTATGAAAACTGTGCTTGCATATTACCTGCATAGCAAGAAACCTAAGCTCTCAGATTATATTGTATACATTTGGAAACATCGTCATAATTATAGTAAAAAAATCTGGAAACAAAGTGATCCCTCGGAAGCATTAATCACAACAAAATAACATAAGAATTGCAGACTCGGTTTGATTGAGTCTGTACATGAGGGATTATGTATAAGTGCAACATCCCTCACGCCCCCTAGCACCGGCTTGAGCGGTACTCAATTCTCAACAGTTTATAACAGTTTATAGTGTATAAAGTTTACATCTTGAGGTCGTACAATATGAAATGGAGTGGTTGAAAGGCAATCAAATATATCCTGACACGATGCTTTATAAATGATGAAGATGATACTGGAGATCTGGAAGATAAAGATGATGATGATGATGGTGATGATTCTCCATTTAATAAGCAGCATTTTTACGCATAATATTTCCAAAATCTATCAAAGATTTACAAATTTATGTACAAATTATGACAATTGACAATTATGACCTTAACCTTTGAGCCAGAACTTGATTATTTCTTGTTCGACCTTAAAATACAACACATCTGTGCAACTCAGAATTGTTGACCAGACAAGAGTATCAACGCATGAAATGAAAAATTAAGAGGTGACTTTGAGCAACACATCTTGTTTTGGCGTGATACACATCAGATCAATGTAAAAAAAAGTTATGCATAATTGTAAAAAAATCATCCATGAATGACAATGTCGTTGGAAAGACAACACCATATATTAATCATATTATGAATATGGAAGTACAAGTGTGACTTGTGATGCCAACACAAGTGTTGAGAATTGAGTACCGCTCAAGCCGGTGCTAGGGGGTGTGAGGGATGTTGCACTTATTCATTATCTCTCATGTACAGACTCAATCAAACCGAGTCTGC